TTAAAATATATTTCAATAAATTTGATTTCGGGAAAGGGATGAATTGATTCACCCAAATGGAAGGCCTAGGATGGAACAAATACTTCATTTGGAAATTGGAATAAGAGGTCTTGAACTGTTGGGTATTTTTCTTGTGTTCTGATCTGAAATAAAATAAAATAATAACTCGCCCAATGGATGAGAGGTTAGACTGTAACATACTATTGGGCTTCAGTTTGCTTCGTATAAGGTTATCATTTAAGTTCTGATTTTGTGTATAGTCTTAAAAAACGAAACATTGGTAACTTTTTACACGAGGAAGTATATCAACCATAAGTGAGTATTTCTCTTGTAATGGGCATGGTGAGTGCTGTATGGTGATTTATGAGAATTTCAAAGAATTCCCAAAACTACTTTATCGGGTTTGTCCAAACCATGGAAATGTCATCAATGTCATGGGCATGTTAGTGATAGTAAGAAGTGGTCAATGTATTTATACTTCCATTAGCGATCCAGTTAAGGGTAAACCAATTTTTTTCTTAAGGTATTAGGCAAAGTGTATAAATGTCTCTCAAGACAACCAGGTTTTGCAGGTTGTAGACTTATTGTTTTCATATATTTCAGTTTTTCTGAATGTATGGCATCGTATTCGAAAGGTTTTGGAACTATGACGAATGGAGGTGTGGTGTGGACACGATGGATGTATTGAGGCTTTGGGTGATTTCCACGTGGATTTAGGAATATATACCACGTTGAAGTGGTTTCAGAAGAAATGTGTGGAGCTGGGGGGATTATGTTGGACTCATTCGATAGACGGCTGTAGATAATCAAGATTGGCTACTTTGAGTGGTGGGATAAAGCCCTAAGATTGAATGTTGCAGGGATGTGAGTGGAGCCCTCTCAGTATTTAGATCCCCATAATTAGTTTAAAGACTAACGTGTTGTTTGAAGCTGGCTTTCCCAGAACAAATCAATACCGTTTGCTGTTTCTGGAGACCAGGAAAGGTTGTCCACTGGTTCTTCTCGGTAAGGTGCATGGTAGGATTGTAGCGTCGGTTGTTGATTCAATAATCATGTTGTGAAAGGATCAGAAATTCTACTGGGCTTTCTTCGTAATTCTTTTGGAGATGGATATACAGGTAAATATTATGATCTTTGCCGTCAGTAAAAGACTCTTTGGCTGTTGAGATCAATTTCTGGGCTAAGTTGATGAGGTTTTTGGTGATTACTGAGGCCGCGATTACTGAGGCCAACATATAGGATATCGATAGCTACACTGGAGGTGATGGATTTGGGCACTTGGGTACGAATAAATTTCGGTATCTGAAGTAATTTTGGTTATTCGGGCTTTAAATTAAACGAATTTCCATGAATATGAGCAAAAATCACGTGTGATTTGAATTGTGATGGTAGGTTTACGCATGAAAATACACGAGTTCGAACCTGGTCACTTCACCTGATGATGACAATGTAGATTGTTGAAACGTAGTGTGCAATACAACTAAGAAGTAGTATACCATAAAATTGTGTTCCGTTATTTAATGTGATCTCTACTCTAAATGTCGGATTATTTTCAGTTTTCTATGATTATTTACACGATATTTTGTCCTCTTATTAAAATTAGATCAAACTTTTGTCCCGTTTATTATTAGTAAAATTTCTAATTCTAATGCGCATTTATAATGAAAATAGCTAAAAAAAAAAATACATCAAAAAGTTTTTTCTTTTGAATATTGGCAACAAAAATAAATACTTCAGAACAAAAAATAAATACTACAAAAAAATTAAATGTATCTATATTTGAATAAATCACCCGCTATAACATTATATTATACACTATAGTAAATTAAAGAGACTAGAGGTTATAATTATATGAGTCTTCAGAGACACATAGAGCTTCTATTTGCAACATTCTGGTACCACGACCGTTGTCTTTGATTCCTGTAATTTCCAGAATATGACAACACTATAGATGATTCTTCCAGCATGGTGTATTAAATAGTAGTGTAGAATTCTTACCTTATTGGAATCTTAGGACCACAAATGGGAAATTAAATTTTCTTAAGTGAAGTATCCTTGATATACGTTAAGGCGGAAAATAGAAAACCTCTTTTAAACCCCTTTAACGACGAAAACTACACAAGGACAACAACTCTGAAACTGGTCATCCGAACATTACCAAAGTCAAGGGCAATAACTCTGAAACGATTCATCCGATAATACAAATTTTGAACTTGACTGAGATCCCATCAACATATACATGCATACCAAGTTTCATCAAGATTGGATAGAAACTATAATCTCTTTCGTGCCTACAAGCCAAATTTGACACATTTTTTTATTAAGTCAAGGACAATAACTCTGAAACCGTTCATCTGAGTATTACCAATTTCGAACATGACCGAGGTCTCATGAATATATACATGCATACCAAGTTGCATCACGAGTGCTTAAAAACTGTAGCCTCTATCGCGCCTACAAGAAATGTGGACGGACCGACGGACAGGGGCGACGGCAATATACGTCCACATTTCCATGTGGGCGTATAAAAATGCTTAATTAACCAATATGACGACACTATTTCAAAGGCTGCTGAGAGATCTTTGCGATAGCTACGTGTAAGAAAACGGGTATTTTTCTTATCATTGTTTTAAGTGTGAAACAAACAAACTTGTCCCCTCACGGACACACCTTTCATACCTTCATTTACACCAGAAATAACTATGTTAATTAACTATCATTGTATTGCAGTTCAATGTACGTCGGACCCCGTAATAACAAACGGTGCTTTGGACTCGGACATAACGTCCAGAGATGTCGGGGCAGTGTATAATTTTTCATGTGGAGGTATACTGAAAGACACAGGAAGTGTCACATGTAATGACACTGGAAATTGGACGACAAATTGGACATGTGAAGGTAAGAACGAGCAACTAACCATTTAAACTATAAAAATCTTTAAATTAAAACATTTTTCTCAACAAAGAATATTTTATTTTTACCGATCCAGGATAATGTCCAAACTACATGCTGTGAGATCTTCATTTGTTAATGTTCAGAAGACTAAGCGGCTAGAACACATTAAAAGTTTAAAGGGGCAGTTCGCCATCCGTTTGACCAATCGTACCTCTGTCCTTTTTTCAGCTAAGCTAATAAGTAATAGTGTTCATAGCTTAGGCCTACCGTCGAAATTTGAGCCTTTAAATCCATGTTTGTCCAGAATTATCCGCGTTTGAAAGTTAAAATAACGACTGTCATTTCTTGAGACACTGCCATATATGAAAAAGAAAGTGAAATTCCTAGTTTGAGGTATTTTTGAAGGAATTTCCAGTACTTCTGAAGACAATTTACATATATTCAAAACTGAAATCAACCCTCGAAACTATGGTTAAATTTTATCTAATTTGATTATATCGATTTTAGTCACCCATTATCTTTGATGATGCAGTTTTAGATGAATCACGTGTTCTTTTGTGGACTAACAGCAATAACTAACCAGGATCTGGAAGGGATTGAATCCTGACCAATAAATATATATAAATATGGAGCCTGATTCAATAAATATATATAAATATGGAGCCCTTATAGCTATATTTCTTTTGCAGAATGTTACTTGGCAAATATATTTTTCTATATGAAGCCAGTTAAAAGTTCCACAAAAACCGATGCTGAATGTAAGCAGAGATGTGGCCAGATAAATTGCACAGTTTACAGTTTTTCAATGAGAAAACGATTATGTTTATCATACCGTCAATACACTATATTTAGAGGTACCGGAATGACTCTCCAGCAATGTATCAATAAATGTAACGAGGTAGACGAATGCGTGACAATCAGACATAGGTTTGTAAGGGTTAACGTATGCTTTCTATTTGACGTGACTGTGCCAGAACTGATCGCATTGAGCCATGTGCTTAGATCGCATAATGATGGTACAATAATTGGGAAAAGATCGACTTGTCCCTAATCTTGAATATATCATTAAATATATCAGTTTCATAATTTCGCTAGCAAACCTTCTTTATCTATAGTTATCTTTATCTTCGGCTATATCTATCTACAGCTATCTTTATCTATAGTTATCTTTATCTGTATTTATCTTTATCTACAGCTATCTTTATCTACAGCTATCTTTATCTACAGCTATCTTTAACTATAGTTATATTTATCTACAGCTATCTTTATCTATAGCTATCTTTATCTATAGTTATCTTCATCTATAGCTATCTTTATCTATAGTTATCTTTATCTACAGCTATCTTTATCTATAGTTATCTTTATCTATAGTTATCTTTATCTTCGGCTATATCTATCTACAGCTATCTTTATCTATAGTTATCTTTATCTGTATTTATCTTTATCTACAGCTATCTTTATCTACAGCTATCTTTATCTACAGCTATCTTTAACTATAGTTATATTTATCTACAGCTATCTTTATCTATAGCTATCTTTATCTATAGTTATCTTCATCTATAGCTATCTTTATCTATAGTTATCTTTATCTACAGCTATCTTTATCTATAGTTATCTTTATCTACAGCTATCTTTATCTATAGTTATCTTTATCTACAACTATCTTTATCTATAGCTATCTTTATCTATAGTTATCTTCATCTACAGCTATCTGTATCTACAATTATCTTTATCTTCGGCTATATCTATCAACAGCTATCTTTATCTATATCTTTGTTTGTCTATCATTTTCTACAGCTTTTAGTAGAACGGTTTATTTTCAACGTGAAGAATTAGAATTACGCTAATTATGCGTGAAACTATATTTACACCCTTTATATAGTTTCTATACATTTACCTTACCGTACTTTATTATTCCAAAATACAGTTTGATTTTCTGTCAGCTTCAATTCTTTACCGAAAATCTTACTCAATTCTGTATCAAGCTAAAACCCAATTTAAATGATTACTCTAAGCATTGACAATTTTGAGAGGAATTTTAAAACAGATGAGACCCTGTTTGTGAGCTCCGTGGTTAACAATGGTAATGAAAACAAGACAAGATTATTCAGACTTGTAATTTTAATGATGTTTGTAAAATCTTCAGGTCTTCCAGTAGTAAATTGTTGCAGATCTCTTCATGATAATTTATTGGTGGTTTCTGGCTCTAGAATGAAAATCACGCAATGAACATATTGTACATGTACTGAGGCCGCAAGTGCCAAACACACTGACACCTTGCCATTTAGATGGAAAATCAAACTGAAGTTACCCTTGCGATTTGTAATACAATGTTTATTTGGGACATTGTAGAATACCCGACAATGGATTCATAAATCGTTCAACTTTGTATAGACGCCAAAATTTATGCCAATTTGGCTTTTCTCGTGGTGAAAATGCTCAAAAACGAGTGACCCAAAAGTGGTTTGGGCATCTGCTTTAAAAAATGATATTTTATGTCTGGCCCCAATCGTGCCGATATTCATATATCACGTACGAGGAACTGACAGGGCCAACCGCGCTGTCTGAATTTCTATTTGCTTTGAATGATCAAGATCTCCTGGTGATTGTCTGAAGAGTAAGCCAATATCTCCAACTCAGTGTAATTAAGATAGCTTGCCAGGCAATGTAACATACGCCCACTACCAGATGTCAACAATCTCCAACTCATGTAATTCAAATTAGATTACAACTTCACATCTTTTTTTTGTTTTTTGATATATTCTACAGTTTCTTACCAAAGGCCTGTCCCAATGATGTAATATTTAACCAATCAAAGCATCTCATGTAAATTTCTTGGTGAATTAAGGAATTGTGAGAAAGCAAATACCAAAGTACATCATAAATATAATTGTTAATAAACGCATACCTGAATTTGTTGTAAAGTTTTATCAAGTTCTTTGTTTAATAAAATTAAAGACAATCTTCTTGATTCTTGAACTACCTCAAGATACAAAACTGTTCCAAGTATTATTTGTTTCCAGTTTTGCCTAAAAGAAATTATGATGTTTTATCATGCTGTTGATGGACTTCATTTTAGGCCAAGGGCACAGCATGGTGAAGTATTCAAGTAGGGCAATTCTCGATATGCTGCAAAGTTGATGATATTTATGCTGATGAATTTGAAATGTCAAAGTCATAAAAACAAAAAAAAACTTTAAAGGGAAACAGTCTCGTCTTCATTGGCGGACAGACTGACTTTATCGGGGGACAACTGTCAAAGTTGAGATTCAAAATGTGGCAGCTCTGTGAGATTAGGAAAAGTAACAAGTTAATATTCAATATAAGGCACTGGCACAGGGTTAAAGTTATGTTTAAGAGCCATAGTAGCAAGACTACTATAGAGCACCTGAGCGGGCTTATTCCCCCCTGTCGTTACCACTGCACTTATCGTGCAGTAAATACAATATAAATTTAAAGGGGTGGGTACCTTTTTGGTAAAATTTGAAGACTCCATGATAGTTAATTTAGAATGCCAAATGTCTAAATTTGGAAAAGATAGCTTGCGTTGCAAGGTAACATACGCCCACTGGCAGCTGTCAGAAATAATAAAACAGTCTTTAGTGACTAAAGTACGAATTTTCCCATATTGAAGAAATTATTTATGCTGAATAATTCGTGTTTACAAAGTCAAGGGCAATAACTCAAAAAATGTTCATCAAAAATATCTCTTGTTAGAACTTGTCCGAGATCTTATCAATTCCAATGATCACACCAAGTTTCATCAGAATCGGTTGAAAACTGTAGCTTTTATTGTGCTCACAAACAAATTTTGATGCATTTTTCTTAAGTCAAGGGCAATAACTCAAAAACCGTTCATTGAAAATGCGTCAAATTAGAACTTGTCCGAGATCTTATCAATTCCAATGATCACACCAAGTTTCATCAGAATCGATTGAAAACTGTAGCTTCCATCCTGCTCACGAACTATTTTTAACAAATTTCAACACGTTTTAACAAAGTCAAGGGCAATAACTCAAAAACTGTTCATCGAAAATGCCTCAGGTTAGAACTTGTCCGAGATCTTATCAATTCCAATGATTACACCAAGTTTCATCAGAATCAGTTGAAAACTGTAGCTTCAATCCTGCTCACGAACTATTTCTAACAAATTTTGACGCGTTTTTACAAAGTCAAGGGCAATAACTCAAAAACCGTTCATTGAAAATGCGTCAAATTAGAACTTATCCGAGATCTTATCAATTCCAATGATCACACCAAGTTTCATCAGAATCGGTTGAAAACTGTAGCGTCAATCCTGATCACAAACTATTTTTAACAAATTTCAACACGTTTTAACAAAGTCAAGGGCAATAACTCAAAAAACGTTCATCAGAAATGCGTCAAGTTAGAACTTGTCCGAGATCTTATCAATTCCAATAATTACACCAAGTTTCATCAGAATCGGTTGAAAACTGTAGCTTCAATCCTGCTCACGAACTATTTTTAACAAATTTCAACACGTTTTAACAAAGTCAAGGGCAATAACTCAAACACCGTTCATCGAAAATGCGTCAAGTTAGAACTTGTCCGAGATCTTATCAATTCCAATGATCCCACCAAGTTTCATCAGAATCAGTTGAAAATTGTAGCTTCAATCCTGCTCACGAACTATTTTTAACAAATTTCGACGCGTTTTAACAAAGTTAAGGGCAGTAACTCAAAAACCGTTCATCGAAAATGCGTCAAGTTAGAACTTGTCCGAGATCTTATCAATTCCAATGATCACACCAAGTTTCATCAGAATCGGTTGAAAACTGTAGCTTCAATCCGGCTCACAAACTATTTTTAACAAATTTCGAAGCGTTTTAACAAAGTCAAGGGCAATAACTCAAAAACCGTTCATCGAAAATGCGTCAAATTAGAACTTGTCCGATATCTTATCAATTGCAATGATCACACCAAGTTTCATCAGAATCGGTTGAAAACTGTAGCGTCAATCCGGCTCACAAACTATTTTTAACAAATTTCGACGCGTTTTAACAAAGTCAAGGGCAATAACTCAAAAACCGTTCATCGAAAATGCGTCAAATTAGAACTTGCCCGAGATCTTATCAATTGCAATGATCACACCAAGTTTCATCAGAATCGGTTGAAAACTGTAGAGTCAATCCGGCTCACAAACTATTTTTAACAAATTTCAACACGTTTTAACAAAGTCAAGGGCAATAACTAAAAAACCGTTTATCAAAAATGCGTCAAGTTAGAACTTGTCCGAGATCTTATCAATTCCAATGATCACACCAAGTTTCATCAGAATCGGTTGAAAATTGTAGCTTCAATCCTGATCACAAACTATTTTTAACAAATTTCAACACGTTTTAACAAAGTCAAGGGCAATAACTCAAAAACCGTTCATCAAAAATGCGTCAAGTTAGAACTTGACCGAGATCTTATCAATTCCAATGATCAAACCAAGTTTCATCAGAATCGGTTGAAAACTGTAGCTTCAATCCTGCTCACGAACTATTTTTAACAAATTTCGACGCGTTTTAACAAAGTCAGGCCAATAACTCAAAACACCGTTCATCGAAAATGCGTCAAATTAGAACTTGTCCGAGATCTTATCAATTCCAATGATCACACCAAGTTTCATCAGAATCGGATGAAAACTGTAGCTTCAATCCTGCTCACGAACAATTTTTAAACAAATTTCAAGGCGTTCTAAGTCAAGGGCAATATCTCAAAAACCGTTCATCGAAAATATGTGAGATTCGAACTTGACCGAGATCTTATCAATCTAAAGCATCACACCAAGTTTTATCAAAATCAGATAAAAACTGTAGTCTCTATAGTGCTCACAAGAAATGTTGACGAAAAAGGGGCGACGACAATATACGACCACATATTCATGTGGGCGTATAAAAAGACAACATCTTCTAAAAAAGGCGGGGGAGGGGGTTCTAATGCCGCTTAATTGACGAGTTTAAAGCTACTGAGTTACTTCATCGCAGGGTAAAAAAGAGGCATCTTGGGCAACTTTATTTCTCTTACACTAATTAAAATAACCTTAAAGATGGGTTCCCTTATTTTCATTTATGAAAACGACGAGCGAAAATGTAAATGAAAATGCGAATACTTAAATGAATAGTAAGTAATGACTTGGAATGACTTGGAAAAATACCAGTTTGTCTCACATGTCCATAATTAATTCATAATTAGCTAAATTAGAAGAGAATTACCAACAGAATTCCAATGAGTGACAGATCAAAAAAGGTCAGAAAGTCTTTTTTGTTTATCCTGATTGTACATACATGGATATTTATGATCGGTTAAAACTCTTAATTATATGCAATAATAACATAATGATATGATTAAGAATACGTGATAATTCATTAGAAACACCAATTAATCAAATAGTTTGCTTTATTTGACACTAAAAAATAAGGAAACCCATCTTTAAAGCAAAGTGCCAGTGGACTGTTTTTAACAGAGTTACATGAAGTATTAAAAGATGCCATATGACAATTGAAAAACTTACAATTGTGTCCAGTTACATGATAAGATTTTGAAGACTTTGTCCAATTTCCAATCAACCCCTTCATTACTGCAAGTTGATTCTCTGCAAAAACCAAACATTAACAGAAACCTTCATATTGTATTGTACAAGGATAAAAAGCTAAGACTTGAGGTCATAGTTTTTTATTTTATTAAGGAAAAAATGTATAAAAACCATATTTTTAATTTGTAAGAAATAAATTGGGGGTACAAATGGGAGTCTTCATTTTGACATTTAACACTAGATATTACTGGACACACATTTTATTTAAACGGTGAGCTGTGAATACTATTACTGATAAGCTTAACTAAAAAATCTCATTTCTGACCAAGGTACTATTAATCAAATGGATGGGAACCTGTCCAGTTAATTGCTTTGCTCAATTCCAAACCAGAACTTAACTCGGATTTTGTCAACCTACTTGAGAAGGTTGTTGTCTTTTAAAATCTGTATTTTCTGACTAAAATGCTTCACTTTTTCTTGATTTGCTAACTCAAATATCATTTCTACAAATATGAAAAAAAAATGAAACTAGATCCACAGGCTTCGCGAGGTTCTGATGCAGTGCGTAACAGTTTTGATTTTTCCCTTAAAACTGTGCCGCAAAGTATTGTAACAGTAACATAATTAACTGGATATAGATCGCCCAAACGCAAAGCATATTCGACATATCGCTTCAACTCACATTGCATTCAACAACAGTTGAAGGGAGCAAACTACCTTTATCGTTTAGACCACAAAAAAAACTTACAAGCGGAAAACCGACTTTTTCAAGATAAAATTCATCAATTTCAAATGGCGATAAAATCGGAAGTAAACACTGTACAATAAACATTAATATACCATTGGAAAGATCTCGTCGAGAACTATCAAAATTGTTGTGGTCACATGATCACCAAAGGTCAAGGTCACGATATACGACCCTTTAAAGTATTCATATTTTTCAACCGGAAATAAATAAAAAGCAAAATCAAAATTCAAAAATCGGTTCTCAAATATTATTTAGCAATCGATAGTAGATACCATAGATATCAAATTTACACAAATTACACAAATTGGATTACACCCTGAGGCCCCATTTCGATTTATTGAGAATTACGCACAGTTACTATAGAAGAAAGTACACAATTTTCAAATATTAAAAAGCGCAATTTTGATTGAAACATCTAGTGTTATATATAATTACAAAAGGCAGATGAACACTAGTAAGATTCAATATGAATTTTTGGTGTATGTAAATTAGGTCACGTGTCAGAGCTCTTTGAAGTTAAAAATCGTAAATTTCAATCGGCTATAAACCCGGAAGTAAACATTGCACAGCACAAATGAGTATATCACTGGATAGATATCATCAAGGGCAACAAATTTTGTTCAGGCCACAAGGTCACCAAAGGTCAAGGTCACGAAATAGGACCATTTGAAATTTTGGACATTACCGAAAAATTTTAACCGGAAATAAAAGAAAAGCAAAATCGAAATTCAAAAATCGGCTTCCAAATTTCTTTTCGCAATCGATTGTGATATCCAGATATACCAAATTTATGAAAAGCGCTCTATACCCTGAGGCCCCATTTTGAATTTTACAGAAGTTTGACATATCAATATGGCGGCTACTCTGATACACCTGGGTCGAATTTTTTGATTTGAAGTTTTTTGTATGGCTATTTGTAACATATTGCAAAAAGAATTTTTGAAATATCTTTAAAATTCCGGAAGTTGAATTTTATATTTTAGAAGCGAATAGCGTCAAAACCGGAAGTGATATCAAAATTTTGAAAATTTGTTTATGTTCACAATGAAAGTGTTTTACTCTGTAAGTTTTCAGATTGATCGAAATAGAATTGCAGAAGTTAGAAAAAAGGTTAAAAAACTCAAAAATTGGAACTCAAAAAGTCAGCGACAAAAGTCAAAATTGTCCATTTTTTCAATTGCTATCTTGTAGTCATTAGCGCGAAGTAATAAACAGTACAGTTTGAGCAAATTCAGACGAGTATTAAAGCTGATTAATGGAAAAAATTGAAAAAGAGCCATTGTTCACGGCTCATTTCCTGTTGGTCAAAATGGTGCCAATTTACATTTAACAAATTGTCCACTATTTTGACCAGAAAACAACAACAGACAGTCTGTGGCATGTTGCCTTCTTAGAAAACAAGCGAAGGTAAAATTCGAAAAAAAAAAAAAAAAAATAGTCATTTGCAAAACAAAACGACGTTCTTCGAACGCACTGCAATAGAATTCTCTTTCATTGATAAAATAGTCCCATTAATTTTACATCAAATTTATACATTTAAAGGGACAGATTTGCCATTTTTAGGGAGTTGATTTGGGTCTTGAATATATATTAATAGTCTTTAGAAGTACTAGAAATGTACTATCACTATTACAGATTAGCTTAGTGAAAAAAATTCCCATTTCTGAGACTAAAGTTAAATTAGTCAAACAAATTGCAAACCTGTCCCTTTGACAGAAAACCCATCAGATTACAATATTTTCTTTTCTAGAGTTCCCATATATACATATACATACAATTCATATTTTATGATTAAAAAAATTGTAGGCATACCTTGAGTAATGGGGTAAACTGAGTTGGGATTGTTTGGAAGTATAAAACCATATTCTAAGAATAGTTTGTGGTTATCATGTGGTCCATACGAAATAAAAACCTGGTCATATTTTCTAAAGATGTTACCAGTAGTAATCTCATAGCACTGATTTATTGTATTAAACTTGGCTTCTGACTGAAAAATAATAAGAAACTAGCATAAAATTTACACCAACACCAGCAAAATGAACACAACAAAAACAAATGGATATGAATAAACAATACTCAACAGTCAAACTTTGTCTACCCACAGCTTTGACGAAAGGATATCATTATGCATAGGAGTCTGGGTGTCACTGACACTACTGATTTGCCAATGCCCAACACACCAATCAACATGCTTCTACTTTTATTTTGATTATTTTGTAAATAAGAACACATAACTCGTCAAGATTATATTAGAAAGGGCTCCTCCATTTGTTTGAGTAAAGCCTTTGCTTTACCAGCTAAACTACAGCTACCACACTACATAGAACAGGATGTTGGAATTAATTCTGAAAAGCGAATTGGATGGCTGAAATTGTTCACTTTTAGCAGATAAAGCAATATTTAGATGACTGTCTCCCTGAAAACAACATATAACCACTACTGTATTATAAGAATACTACCTCTTAGAATGGAGTCTCAAATTTGGTCAATAATTATAACAGTATATATTCATCAGTTGGACTTACCAGGTACCATGACTAAAGAATAGAATCTCTATGACTATATATCCACTATGTTATCATTGAAAAATGCTTCTAAGCGTGTTTCAAAATTACTTAGTTTTATGAATTTACTTATAGAGGAATTCTGTTGTATAGTTTTGACACCAGGTAAGTCCACTGATGAACAAGACCCTTTTTGACCAATTTAACAAATTTAAATCTTTTGGTCATCCTAAGAGGTATTTTACCTTAAAATTACCTTAGCCTCTGTAGAATGATTAAGTAAATCAAGAAATGGAGCCAAGGCCATGTTACACTCTTCTTCTTCAAGATGATCACAAGTTGTCTTATAATACACTGATCTAGAATTCACAGCATACCATGCCCATTGGAATGCTTCAAAATTTAAATATAGTCCTCGCATAAACCACTGTATTTAACAAGTTTTTGACAATGTCTATAATCTTTACGTAATTTTGTAATGTGAATTTGAACAGAATTTTGAAGTCGTTCTGGTAATCGTACACATTCCTCCTGTGAGAAGTAGCCAACTGTTGTAAATGATTTAGGTATGGTCTGGAGATAATTCCACCAAATAGAGTCTTCCCCCTTGTTTTTCTCGAATAATAAGAATAATGCCAGCGCTTGATGTAATGATAGTTTAGGATTGTAGCTGAAATTCAAAAATACAAATTTTTAGCAATGACAGTTCCAAATGAACACAAATTTTTAACTTTTTTTTTCCAAAGAAATCCAAATATTAAGCAAAGGATGTCCTAAACAAATTCATCTTTTAAGCACTGACAGTTCACAACAAATACAAATTTTAATGATGAAATTGAAATTTGCCAGTTTTTTACCTAAATCCTCTGTCCAAAAACACGTTGATTGGGAGAGCCACACACAGCCCACCCAAACCCCATCAAGTGTCTCTTTAACATACCTCTTGATGTAATGTCCTATTGTACTGTTTAAAACTGTGTCAGCTGTAATTAGTAGGTTAAAGGGCAGAGAAATAATAACATCTCCAGGAGAAAAATTAGATAGGGCCATCATACCTCGACCAGTTTCTGAAACAATTACAAATATTTCAAGTTAAAGTCCATCAGAAAATAACTACATGTATAAGGAAATGAAATGAATGGAGTTTTACATCCTACTTTTCTGCACCATGTGGGCTAATGAAGACGGGCACCGCCATGCAGGGTGCGATGAGGGAAATTTTGCCAGGACAGCAGTTAGCCTGCTCTTTTTTCGATTTCCAACTGTCGAGGGATCTTTAACCTGTAGCACACGGGGCCTCGGTAAATTGTCCCATCCAAACGACTAGACGCTTTTTCCATGTCAGCCCCTTACCTGCATCACTGATAGGGGGAAACCGGGTTGAAAAATCCGAAGGTATTATCTTGACCCATGCCGGGATTGAACCCTGGACCTTCAGGTTGGCGAGCAAGTGTCTAACTCACTGAGCCACCGTGGCACCCTACATACATGTATAAGGAACATCAGAAGAAAATGAAATGAAATGAAGAGCATTAAGGAGCATCAGCACCAAATAGGCAAAAAAAAAACATCAGAAGGAAAGGCTGGAATTACCGTACCTTCATCCTTAATTCACTGGTCTGAGCTTCACTTCAAATTTCACTTCAGCCTTATTTAAAGTTTTGCGATAAATAAACATAACTAGGTGTTAACATTGATGGACTTGTGTGGATATGTTGTTCTGTGCGTGAAGTGCACATTTTGTCAATTTCAACGCACGGTAAGTTTAAAATTTGACCATAAATCAGTGTAAACAAGAAAGTGATTGACAAGTCGTTAGAGCTCGAGTAGATTGTAGAGTTAACATACATGTACATCTAAAATTTTGACTACATTGGCTACCATTTCCAAATCCAAGGCACTTGTTTCTTTTTTTTTCCGTAGAGATAAAATCTACATGGGCATAGATTATAGACAAAAGTGTCTGTGTATAGTGTATTGCTATTGTTTGTGTGAAGGCCTACATCAGTACCAACCTGGAAATATTCTAGACTGCAATCGATGCTTTTTCGTTCCCATCTTTTTAACCCACTTCCCAAGATGTTTGTTTTCTTCAATCTCAGTGTGGTCGATAGGTTTAACCAACTCTTTCGTCACAAACTTTTGTTGACGTTTTCGCCAAGTTCTGCCTTTCATTTAAACTGGTACGCCGTTGTGTTCGCTTATCGCTACATAAACGATAATATCTTCGGTGTGAAGCTTAAGACGGAATGGTGGACCAGTTCAACTTTAATTTCGATAAAACGAAAGTTTGTTTACATGGATGAAGGGGAATAACTCTAATTAAAATATTGACTACAGACCACAACTGTGTCAAACTAGTACAGTGGTGTAACCTATTTTCGTGGATATAAGGATTCAACACCGAATTTCGTCTAAGTTAAAAAAACGAAAAAAAAAAATTTATGTCTTAGATGTTTCCTCAGATATTCTACAAAATAATTAAAATTGGTTTATTTCGATTTTCTTTATGAATCCTTCACTTTGACCCATATTTCATGAGCATCACCTATTTTCGTGTACAATGTTTGATCTATAAATAAGTCTAGAAAAACACGTTGTATGGATACCAGGTGGTATAATTAACTTCTCTAAGTATTTATCTTTAATATCAATTCATTATAACTAGTGACAATTCCTTCAAAGAACCACGATTTAAAAAAAAATAGTGACTGACAAAATATGATACGTAGCGTGATTTATTGCTAAAAGTCACTGAAACAACATAAGAATATGGTCCACTTTGTGTTCCATACAAATTTTCTGCTGACACGGAATCCTCTGGTTGATCACGTGACTTCATTCGTTGGAATATATTCTAGCAGACGACACTTGGATTTCCGATTACCGCTCGGGATTATAAGGAAATTCGGCCGATAAAAAATGGTGACGTTTGGTAATAAGTGAAATCCGCCATTTTGTATTTGTCAAAGTATACATTATTACACTTTACCTTGCTTGAAACTACTGGATTCATTCTACTAGCTGATATTGTAGAGAAAACCCATGTTTATTAATACAAACTAATGCGGAGGTCGCGTGCGCAAGGTCGCTCATGTAAATTATTAATCATTTCCGGAAATCCACGAATAATAGGTTTCCACGAAATTAGGTTACTCGACTGTATATCAGTCAATGGCTGGTAGAGCCTATAAGTTTTCTTTCAAAATGGCATTATATCTTCTGTATTATCAGTATTATTTGATACCTCATTGAGAATTTAAGAAATTCATAATTCTACACAGGTCCACAAAGATTTTATTTTTCTTGAAAGTCTATTATGGCGCCTCATTATCACACAAGGCTTCGTTTTATTTTCCCACTCTAACGATTACATGTACATGCTTGATAATGAATGTCAGCCCCTTAGACCTACATCATAGGGCAACCTCAAATAGCAGTAGGAGCCTTAACCATGGATCATGGCCGAGAAGAAATGGAGATTTACGGCTGTATCTTGTTGGAAATACCATTAGGCACTTCAGGAAGAAAAAATTAATTTGTAATCAAAATGAATTTTAGACAATAAAAAAGATACTTTATTATTAAAATCAACCAAGAGTTAGAGAATTAACAATTAATTATACAGGATATATTTTATCACAAATCATTATAACTATCACATAGTCCACAACTTATATTTGTCTCTTATCTTATCTCTGACAGCTACTCAGATAACGTATTTAAGTCGGATCGCTTTCATTGGTCTTTTCATTTACATAAGTCACCCCGATTACACAGCAGGGTGCACTTAGGGATCAGACCACATAACGCCTTCCGATGGTCCAGAGGATCCATTGGCCCTACAACTTCTTTGAACAATCTTTTTGTGAAGGAACATTTTGATCTCTTCGAATTCATTGAAAAATATAAAAGCCTAAATCCCCGATAAGAAAATCGAGTAAAGGTAAGGTGAGTGTAAGGAACAAGCTAATGAACCAACTGTCCAACTGCAGCCGAGAGTTCAGAGCTGCTTCGGGATCAGAGAGGGTCGTAATAAACAGTCAAAAATAACTATCAGAAATGATTAAAAATGTAACTTGTTAGGGATGAATTTCTAAAATCAGTTACTCATAAATACAACAAAGAAATTTCTACATGAAACGATCCCACGAGTTAATTGATTTTTATGCTTTCGATTGTCGATTCGACGTCGCCAGCAGATCTTTGATCTTTGAATTTTTTGCAGCAATACTGTTATAATGTTAATAAAACGTAAAAGAGAACTTCATAACGTCTTAGTGAAAGAAACTGTCCCACAATAAGAACATTATCAGCAGACCAGCGCTGATAGAATTAATGTTTAATCTGATTGAAATAATATACGGTAATACCCTCTCGCTGTTATTGTATGGGTTACTGTCTTTTACCGTTAGATAACTCATAGCGATAGACAAAAAATGAAATGTAGAGGATTGTATAATGGAATTCTAAGGCACTTTAATCCTCGTTAATACCATTCCGAATGTAAAGGTCTCGATGGCTTTGGTTGATGTCCAATGGATATTGAATGTTTTGTTTCTCTGTTGAAAACCTAAGCTCAAAAATACCAATTTTAACCACTTTTCAACACAATTAATATCCTTAATTTCGATATCTCGTGTGTCCCTAATATGGACTGTACTTGATGAGAAAATCCTGAAAAAAATCAGAATTAGAATATGAAAATTGATTAAAATATGTCCGCAGAATTTATAATGTAAATGATCCACAAACACTTTCCGAATATGTTTCTTGAAAGCAGATCAAGGCTATCCTAGCCACTATCCTTCAAATGACCACCGATGGATTGGCAAACAGAAATATCCGGATTACAGACAATTTTTCATAGACCGCATTCTCGCAATATCCAACAACATCATAGAATCTATTTTTCATCGGAGGCTATTTCACAAACGGATCTCTGATGGAAAAATATATCGTGCTGTTTTAATCTTAAAGCTAAATGAATCGCCATGCTCGGGTCATGGCTGTATTGCCCCAGCCTTATATGGTTTTGCAGATAATACGTTTCGTAGTCTACGGAAAGAAGGTCACATCTGGTTTTGTATATAACTGATATTACGGAAATGTAACCAGAAATGGGCCAGACTTTGAAGCGTGTTTCAAAAATATTTCGGAAATACTCTACCTTATCATACTTGCTTCCAGTGTAAGTTTTAAGAAAATGTATGTATCTGGCACCAAACTCGAACACAGTAGCTTTGTCTGTCTTTTCTGACATTCCTGGAATAATGGTTCTCATCAAATCACACGCTTCCTTGATTCGAGCCCTGAAGTTAAACCCACATCAAACAGAAACGTAAGATAAATAAACAAATTAAAACATAATTTAGCAGACATTATTTATTGCAGAGCAATATTATATACGGGGAACATTGAGTAACCATTTAATCTCAATTGGCAATCCATGTAGTATGCAATTAGTCGGGACAGATATTCAGAATGGTTATCAGCTAAACTATTCTATCAGCTTTACAATATACATCTTCACCATGTTAATGTTAAATTTAATTCCCTGACTACAATAGCCACCTTTCTTGTGTATGGTTGGATGGCATGCTACACAATACAGCAAATTTACAAATTTCCATGATGCAAGAACGGTGGTTATTGCAGTCAAGGTATTAGACTGCAGTTCATAATAGCTTGACAATGTGAAGATGAATACAGTATATCATATAGACTTAGTATTTTTTATACCTTCGTCGTCTTTCTTTCAAATTGTGAGATTCCCGGGGCTCATCTTCCAGCATTTCTGGTGAATTAAGAAGATCATATCTTTGACGATGGGAGACAAATCTCTTGGCGTTGAGTGACAGTTTATCACCATTCTCCTCAGTCCTGGGCATACTCCTATTCTCTTCAGTACTGCTGTTCAACGTCAAGCTTCCGGGTATTAACTAAAATACAGGGTGAGGGGCATTGTATATTATAATTCCTATATATTCAAACTTATTTCAGTTACATAAAACAGAACAGCTACGAAAGAAGCATAACCAAGAGACTCAAGCGTGTGGATAATGCCGAGAGTAGCCAAATATAACGAGGGTTGTACGACAGTGTGGGTGCACTGCTTAGGGACAGGGCGAAAAACTTCATTTTATTTCATTCCAGTTACTGAGTTTTACCCTCTGAGAACGGTCTATTTACAAAATGTTCCCCCACTCAGTAACACGTACAACTTAAGCTTACTCTTCAAGTAGAATTAAATTTGAAATTTGCAAGAACTCACCTGTGAAAATGGTGACGAGTTTCTACCGATATTAGTTTTCGTGATGGTTTCAGGTGTCTGGACAGTGGCAGGCTGGAGATCAGGTGACGCATCTGATATGGTTGAAACATAAAATAGTTGACCACTTTTTGGATGGGGAGTATATACATAAGACCCTTGACTTGGTGGTAGGAATCCAGTCATTCTGGACATTTGAGGCGTTGACTCTGTTGGTATTCCTGCTTGAAGTGAAAATGGCATGGGTGTACTTTGTTTAAATCTGGAATAAAATCGTTACAAGGTTATAATAACTTCAATCGGCAGAATGATCACATATCAGCGAAAGCTCACGAAATGGCGATTTAAATATGACTTGACTTAAAGCATTTTAAAAAAATATAAAAGATAGGCCTATATATGTTAACTAAGTAAAACACTTATCGTATTCTTATTGGCATGTAAACGGGCTATAAGACAAGGAAACTAATAGATTAAACACCGCTGTTCTGTTATTTAATATAACTAACTATAAGCTTAAACTAACTAAGCTATCAAATAATAAATTAGTTAATTGAAAGTCAACTTACCGTTTACCATTTGGACTGATGGAAGCTGGTGACAATGCCGAGAGACCTTGATGAGTTGGCGATGACGAGTTCGATAATGCTGATGTTGCTATTGTTACATGTTTTTTGCCAGTTGAGGAGCTGAAAAAGAAGCCATGTACAACATTTTTCAAAATACTTAGTTGCTAGTTTCGTATAGTAAGATTAAATGGTTCATGGCTCAAATATTACCGCTTAAATACGCCGCTGGTGAAAGAAGATGTGAAAAACAGAGATTGGCCTACTCACTCTTTGGCTGAAAGAAACGGATTCTGTTCTGGTGTATCAGTCTTCAAATCACCAAGATGGTCGTCTTCTGTTGCTGTTTGCTGTTGATCGAATTCATGGTGATCATTGATGATATTATGGCGGTTAACAGCTTGGTAGGCCTCTAGGCTTAGCTCTGTCATCTCGCTTGTTTGCGCATCAAGACAACTTTTATCAATAACATAGTATTTCATATTCGAAGTAGAATTTTCTTGATCAAGACAGAAAACTGGAGATAATTTCAGTTTAACTTCTGAAGAAGAGACAGCCGATTCATCATCAGAAGGGAAAATTGGATCTAATTTGGGCATCTTCAGCTCTTGGTCGTCCGTTATGTCACGTAAGACTCTTTTGCGGAAGTTATTATTGTTATAGTTGGATTCAGGTAGTTGAGGTGACAGAGTTGGAGGTCCTGGTGATCTATTTTCGTCTGAAGATTGGGAATAGTCCGTCTGCGTTTCACTGTCACATTTTGTCCTCGATTCCTCATCGTCATACATGATCTGTAATAAAAATGGTGTTCATCATCTCTTTAAATATTCTCACTTTTATCTTTATTTTATACCCACAAACTATAAATTCTTATAGATCTAGATCGAGATCTATCTACCAAAAGAGTTTTTTACATCCAAAGGTTAAAAGGAACCGGTATCAAATGGCACTAAGCCTACTGATCAGTGATGGGCTATAGTAGTATGTGTATGACTATGAGTATTATCAGATCACGGACAGGGCCCAGGGGTCGGTATTAAACTTGTCACTTAAGAAATTGGATGACCCTAAATTAAAGCCTAGGAACATTCAACCTTTACTGTTAATCACTAGGCCAAATGAAGCCATTGTCGTTATTGCGCAGTTGCAGCTACTGACTAGTACCAATATAAAAATATTAGTTTTACTCACTAGACCTACTAAATTAGTAGTGACACTAGGCTACTCACTAGCTAGTGACACTAGCTTGGCTACTTATTCATCTCAAGTAGGTAGGCCTTAGCTAGGAAAATGTGAATTAAAAGTTTTAAAATAGTACCTTGCATTGACAATCGGCTATCTACCAATTTCAGAGGAAAATCCCTAAAAGTTTTTGTTGTTTATGTCTTCAGAAAAAAAACTGTGCCAAATCTCTCGTTCTGCTCACGAAGATTGAACGTGCTGAAGGCGTCTGCTCGTGATCTAAAATGACGTCATTTGTTTACGTTAACTACGATAATATGACGCGCATCTCACGTGATATTACATTAAAGCCGTTAGCGAAACATTTAATTAGTACAGAGCCTATATAGGCCTAGTTTTATATAGGCTCTGGTTAGTAGCGTACGTGTACGATTTTGACTACTGTTGATCAGGCTGAAAACTCTATATATACGCTATGATGCCGATAAAATAAATTATTTTCACGCCTTCCTGTACACAGATGACAAAATTTATTCATCGACCGTCGTGATAAGCTCCGTTTATCACGCATAGAGGTACCGGTATAATAAAGACTGGAGGACTGATTGTCGTTATTTTGCTATTGTGTCATTGAAGCCATGCATATGGGCCATTGACGCCATATTAATTGTAGCCTATGACAAAAACCTTCGTTAGCTACACTGGCTACATTAAAATTCATAAAATAGGATTATAAATGAAATTGTAGAACATTAAGTTATAAGTAGTCCTTGTTATCATCGCCATGTTATCACGATGGAAGGGAGATAACTCCTTAAGTAGATAAAACTACAATAAAAGCTCACATGTCCAAACAGTCAGTGTTATCATCGTTAGAAACCTTGCTGACTCTCGTCAAATTTCGAACATTTCCATGAATATTTCAGCATACTTTCTAAATGATTTTCCGTAAAAAATCAAAAATTAAATCAAATTAAATACTATTCCTTACACCAAATAGATTAACCTGCGTGAAACCAAAAACCACCAATTGACCACAAAGGATCCAAAATATCCTTTAAGGGGTGAAGAGGACTCTATTATAGATTTAAAAAAAACTTTCCAATGTCTTTATTCCGAGCAGAATATGTGAAAGATTCGAGAGGGTTTTTGTTTTAAAACCTTCAAATATTTAGTATATGTCCGAGACAGTTAGGAGGCGGCTTACAAGTAAATCACGCGCGGAAAAAAGTCACGTGGACCAACGAAAATAAAATTACCCAATCTGAATTTCCACGAAAATTCTAGCAAATTGGGACTGACTATTCAGAACAAGGTCTACCCTATCTGATATTCCTGATGGATTTTTCGAAAGGCATCAAGACAAGTCGTGTAAGTGTAAATCTCAAGTTATGCATATTTGTTATTAATTTAGGGATTTTAAAACGAGGTATAAATAATGATAAATAATAGCCTAGTTAGTAGGTCAGATAACCCATGAAGATAATGTATGCCTAAATAACGGTGTATGTAGTCTACGTTTGATTAAAACACAGACTAAAGATTGCAATTGGTCGAATCCTGTACAGACGCTATGCACGTATCCACTGTCTTTTTCTGTGACTATTGATTTGTTTCGTTTCATTATAAATAAATTTGTGATTCTATAATATTCACCAAATATACCGACAAGTTGAAAATGTTTCAGTGCAAATTGTTATTAGCGGTTAGGGCGGTAGGTTGGTTTGGATTTAAAACCCACCATTTAGAAGCATGCCGGTTGCAAACAGTCTAACGTGAAAGTTCTTCTTACGCTCTGCAACATATCACAGTGTGGTAGTTCAAATATTAGAGGCTAGTTGTTCAGGACTACACGTGAATGTAAAAAAAACTGTATAGATATAGAGTATAGTTATAGTATAAATGTCGTATCTTAAATGATAATAAAATGTATCATTGGTAAACCGATAGTCACAATATAGCATTTAATGGTTAAGAAATTGTGAGAATTTTCCCCCGGAGGAACTAAGGCTACCGCCTATATTCACGTCGCAATTTTACTATCACTTGACAAATAATTGTAAAATGCCATAAAGAGTCTCGTCCAATAAGACACAATGAAATCTTCCATTCATTACCGAGACAAAGTCAGCTTTACGGAAACTTTCGAAGATTGCCGAATGATAACCTGCGAAATTAATTGTCGAAGGGAGGCTACTGCTCCGCCCTTATTCTCTTTATGCATTATCAGGTGGTTGAAAAGGGTAATACTAAAAATCTAATATTTTTGTAAAACTTTCACCGAAAACAAAAAAGAATTTCCAGACTTTAAGAGTTACATTCGTATTAAAAACTTGTGACAAAAAAATCAAAATTGTGATGAAATTGGTAAATTTAGTACTTGTTTAATGTTAGTCTCAGATCCCATATCCTTTCGATGCACCATATCTTTAAAGTTGAACTTGTTTTGAAGTTTGTTTTCCAACATTTAAAATAACTCATGGATGCGCATTGAAATATTGTGGAAACAGAATTCCACCTACCACTGTATTTATGTTTATTTGCTCCATATCTAGTAACATTGTTATATAATTATAGTTGAAATAATTAGCATTCATGTCAAAAATAGCCTAATGATTATGACTTCTCCTGGGTATGATTTTAAAAGTAGGTCAGATTTTATGTAGGTCACCGAACAAACCAATCAAGTACATCCATTCTCCAAGATGGCGAACACGAAAGGGATCCCATTAAGTCGAGTAAGTTGTGTTCATTTTACGGTGTTAACAGTCAATGATGAGCGATGTTAATGGTCGAAAACTGTTCGAAACATTGACGGGGTTGATTTTTCAAAATAAATGAGTAGCCAGTAGAACTGATAACACGTGACAAGACGTTTTAAAAATCGAAGCGAGGGTAACATTTCCCGCCGATTGGTGTACTTGTTGTTAAGTTTCTGTCAAATGGATTCTCTCCCATTAATAGCACTTGGTTGTACTTAAGTGATATTATCGATTTGTATTTATGATGTAACATAATGTTGCTATTGTTAAACTCCAAATTTTCCAATTAGGTTGGTTAACTCAAATAACTGATAATACTCTGGTCACTGTCAATGACCTAAAATTTACTAGGCCTACTCTACTAACCGTGGTGGGCGTGAGTCTCAGACTGAGGGTTCTAGGCCTTACCAAAATGACCTCAAATTTTGTCATGTTGCAAAGCTTGAATTCAGGACAACTTGGTCCATAGACAACACAGACCAACTTTCAAAAACAACTTTTTAGAAGATGCAGACTAGACCTGTACGCTACTGCCGAAGTCACTATTGGCCATTGGAAGCCGTCGTCTTTCAATGTAGACGAGCAGCTTAATGCTGGACAAAAGTCGACTTTTACGATTTATTTTAGTGTATGAAACTTCTTCTCATCAATTCATATTTTATAATGTAAAACCGCATGAAGCATTAGTAGTAAACTGAAGTCAAGTGAAGTCAGAGTTTAGCAGCTCAGCCGATTTAGCTTCTGGTGTTTCAGCCAATATCTTGATAACAAGTATAACTCAGACTAACGTTAAAGACTAATCTAACCACCTTTTTTTGAGATGCTGACCAATGTTAAAGAAAGTTGTTTTGAGTCTTATAAAAAGATGTCTGAATTGTCTATGAAAAAATTTAATGCTCTTTGGCCCAAGTTGACCTTATTTCAAAAAGCTTATAGACCCATGGAAATTGTATAATAGATAAATGAATTATAGGAATCTGAAACACGTGCAGAATTATTGTCCCTTTTCTGGTTTTATTTCTAATTTCGTACAAATGAAGGAAATTTGCCCGGACTGTACAGTATTAGCCTACTCTTTTTCGATTTACAACTGATGAGGTACGGTACCGGTACCATGAATATTTACAGTTTGTACCTCTGTATGTACAGACAGCTGGGGAAACCTTAATTTGTTCACTGATATTTACATTTGATTTGATGTTAATCCATTTACTAAATTTATAGACGTATTGGTGTTGATTATATTTCTGTTCATATTTATAGGTGAGTCCAGCCTTTTTACACGCCAACAGTACAAGTCATACCTGGGCATTCAGTGCTATAGCAGAAATTATTGGTTAGATTACTTCTCTATTATTTTGCTGTATGCCTTTTTTACTTCGAACTTCTCTCTCTACTAACATTAATAGCAAAACCATGATTGGCTTTAAAGGAACAGGTTGGCCAATTTCTGACCAATTGTACGAAAGTCATTTCTTGAGACTCTTCCATATAGAAAAGGCATATTTAGTTAGAAAATGAAATTCCTAGTTTGAGGTATTTTTAAGGAATTTTTGTACATTTCTATTGCCTTTGAAGACTATTACATGTGTTCAAGACCCAAATCAATCCCGAAATTGGCGAATCTGTCACTTTAAAATTGTACGTAAAAAACATATATAGATATATATGCGCCCCTTTAATTAAGATATGATTATTGTAATTTCCCTCATGCACCATGGCGGCATCTGTCACAAATCAAATAACGTTTAGAGTAGTAGGATGTTAGATAGGCCTACTTTTAGTTTTGCTGTTAATCCCTTGACAAAACAAATCAACTGTTTTCATTGTAGATAATGCTTACGATCCTGATGTTAATGCGTCTGAATTATGGATTGATAAAATTGAGGCTAATAATAAAACCTGTCTAACTTTCACTGATAATGGAGCTGGTATGGACCCTGATAAATTGATCAAAATGTTGAGGTATGTATAGTAGACATGTTATGTAAATTTGTCTTAAACCCTCATGTGGGCCTAAGTTATTTCCCAACTGGCTTACCAGAAGATCCTGTCATAGGTTGAGATAAAACTTTTCGACTTTTCAACCCAGTTTCCATTGTCAGTTGTTTAGGTGGAGTGGTTGAAATAAATGATTAGTCCTAGACAATCAATTAGGGCCCTGTTGCAGGCTGTGCTATGACTTTACAATTTATAATATCTAAAGATTATGCTGTTGTCTTATCTTGGCAAATTAGCCTTGTTGCACACTACATGGTGTTGCCTGCCTTCATTAGCCCATCCAGTAGCTAAAAATAGGACTTTTTAACTTGAAAATGTAGTTAAATAGTAAACTAAGTAGATGCTTTACCAGCTGATAGAAGTTTTCTTTAACACTTTTTAGGTAACTCTAGCAACAAATCCAAATATATTTTCACTTTTTTTTTTTCAGTTTTGGATTTTGTGAGAAGTCTGTCTATGAGAGTAAGTCGGGTCATAAACCTATTGGTCACTATGGTAACGGTTTTAAGTCTG